TGTGGAAAGTTGTTGTTACATCTCTGAGAAGCTGCAGGGATTCCTGCTGATTGGCTTCTTCTTCTTCTTCGCTGTATGAGCCACATTCCAGTTTTCTTTTTCTTTTGGCAAAAATCAGGACCCATGAAATGAGGAAATCTTACATATGCTAATAAAACCCATACAACTTCATGATCATTAACCTTTTCCACTCTTTCAACCACCTGAATCAGTGGTTCCCATTGTGGAGGTATAGAGGGCCATAATATTTCATAAAAATATATTTCATAAAATACATAAACATGGAAAATAAACAAGTGTATCATGAAATAAGTAAATGTTATGTGTCTTTAGTTATACTTTTATATTACGAAAATCCATATTACATTAGATGCACACCTAATTAATGAAATGTGCCATTACATAATTAAGAATACATTTAAAAAGATTATGAAATTATTATATGTCATCTAACAATTTGCTTATTTAATTTATTAATTAAGTAAGTATTAATTAATAAAATATGCACTTCAATGTATACTGATATTACAGTAGTTATGTGTATTTTTAGATGGTATCTAGTCAGTTGCATTTGTTATGTTAGGCTAAATAGTTTGGGATGCCCGTCTCCAAATTATAGCTGCAGCTGCATCGCAGCTAAAGAAATTTGACTCATTTTGATATATATTGTTTATACTACTTCCACTTCCAAGTTCCACATCTACACCTACATGACACATAGAGTAAAAGTTTAAGATTTTTTTTATTCATCTAAATGGAATAAAGATAACAATAGTTTTCCTCACCCAATTTAAATATAATGTTCTTTGAGGATCCATGTTCTTTGATGGATCATTAGGATGTCTAATAAGTAGATATCCTGAGGACCAGGAGGACCTGAGGTCCGTTTGAGGTCTGACCCTGGACCGTCCACCCAGTGAGCCCAACTGAAAGCATTCCTCCACTCTTGGGGGGTTAAGAGAAGAGATGAGAGTAGAATGGATGGAAGAAGAGTTGGATTGCTGTGTTAAAGAGGCAGGACCACCACCCAGAAAGCCTGCCACGCTCTCTGCTCCTCTGAAGACTGCCAGCGTGCTAATTTGTATCAGTAAACAAGCAGCCGACAACTTCAAAGTGTCGACTCTAACGAGGCCTGACTGGGGAATGGATTTGCATGTGTGTTGTTTGCCAGTTTGTATGTCTCTAGAGTTATCTACCAATGTGCATGTTTATTGATTTCTTTATTTCATAAGAATACTTTTGCATGACTTTGAGAATTCAAGAATATTTAGAGCCTTAAGGAAAACAAACCAAAAAAAAAAAAAAAAAAGATAATGATTTATGTGTTCTCTTTCAGGGCAAAAAATACATATTTTTAGATATGGAAGTAGAAAAATAACTTTGGCCTAAACAACATCCATATCGACTTTCAAAACATAAATCAGCGAAGCTCTTGTGTGTGTATGCTACAAAATCCATCATTGTGAACGTGTGTATACATGTTTCTTTAGATGGGCCACCACCCACGGAGACAAGTCAGGTAAATATTTGGAGGGTGTGGAGGTGAGGGGGTCAGTGAAGTGTCCAGTGTCCAGAGAGAGCTCATGCAATCTTAACATATTCAGCATGGACACCTGATCCCGCTTTGGGCGGCTTCCGAAGCTGAGAAATATCCCAAACGGCGACTGATGACAACATTAAAAAGCCTTCCAACCAAATAGCATAAATGAGGAGGTTTCACCAGCTTCCATCAGCATATATCTTCACCTAAACACCAGAACTGTTGCATGGATCTGCATGAGGTGCATGTATGAATATTGGGGGAATTGTTGTCATAACTATGTCATGTACAGAGAAAAGCGCGATGATAGAAATTTCTGGGTGTGGTTTTAACAAAATGAACACAGGCTGAGAAGTGAGCACTCAGAACTGAGATGCTTATATTACCCCGAATCACCTGCTTTTAATCAGCTATATCCAACATTCATATGTGGACTTGTTGGTATCTCTGTTCCGCAAAAACAGGATGCAGAGGGCCCTTCCTCATGCTGCAGCGCTCAGATCCTGGGCCCCCACATGCCCACCTTTTGCCCTCCAGTGCCATGTGTTCTTGCAACAGCAAACCACACAGGGGAGCTCCTGCTATATATGAACCCACTCACATTCCCCACAGTTATTGTGCTGCCAGGGATCTACAATAAAACTGAAAGCAGCATTATCATTAAAATTATATGATGCAAACACTATCTCATATCTCATAAAAAATCGTTTTAATAGGTCTAATTATAGTAAAATACACTCTTGCAAAGAGTCGGACTATTTCAAGAAAGTAAAACCCACAAGTAGTGAGCTTATATTTTCTCCTTTTGATTCTGCTACCTACATACAAACTGTAAAGAATATAATTTCTGACTGCAGTTAATTTTCTCAGGTATTTTGTCTGTGGTTAGAAAAAAAAAACAAGCAAACAAAAAACAGTGATTAAATTACAGTTAGCAAAATACACATTTTGTGAAGTAAAGAAAATAATGAGACCAAAATGATAAAGTGATGCCATGGTTATAAGTAAACATAACTCAGTAAGTAGGAAATGAAGATAGAGTCAGAGATATCCAGCAGGACAGGACATGTTCAAATAAATATCATTACCTCCAAGATAGCTAAATGATGCCAGTCTGCGAGACACACTGTATGACCAGAGGGAGGATTAATGAGCTGAGAAATCAGACCCAAACACCAGGGTGATTTTTTTTCTTCTTCTTCTTCTTCCCATTCGGTGCGCCTCGGCGGTGAGGCCCTCTCTCAGAGCAACATGGGAGGCTGCTTCAACACGTATGATGAGAAAGATTTCTGCCTGTCCGTGCTGCCTCGTTCATCTGTCAGTAGGTCGACCCACATTTTGCGAAGCGGGAGATGATGATAGGAGCCAATGGAATGCCTCTATGCGAGCATTATTTGAAGGGTAAATACACCCCATGAAAGCTAGTAAACAAACGAAACTCATCGATGAAAGTAGAAACTCTCTTGATTTCTGAGGATAAGGTGCTCAAGTTTTATGATTAGTTTGATTTATTCCCAACATATTTTTGCTCTGCTGCTCAGCATCAGGGACTTTATTTCTATGTTTCATCATTTATTCATCCCAATTTCAGACATGGGTAAAATATATTTTCCTACTTGTGTGTTCTTTCTATTCATTTTTTTTTCTCCCAGTGGTGAAATTGTTCTATTTTATTTGTAATTATTTAATTCTGTTAGCTAGACCATGGTTTAGATAACTGATGCCTCATTATTGACTAGATCAGAGATTTTTCATGTATATAGGTTTCCTTATATTTATGTAGTTGTTGGAAATAAACAATTTATTTCATTTTTTATATAAATAAAATGTATTTTGAATAATAAATGCAAATAATTATAATATTTGGAATGTGTTTCATTTTAAAATTCATGTTGAAACAGTTAAAAATACACATTGAAAATAAATTTCATATTTTATATTCAAATAAAATATGTAACATTTTATTTGATTGTTTTCTCATTGTTGTATTCTTATCTAAAATAAAAAATTCTTTCAAATTTTTATTTTCTTTTTTTTAACTGAAAATATAAGGAGCCTTTTTTATTATTTATATTTTTTAGATAATTGGTCAAATTCAAAGACATAAATTACCTTTTAACACAAACCTAAGAATATACATTAAATAACAGATTAATAAAAAAATAAAACATGTTACTAGGATTAAAATTATCAATTGAAGGGAAATTGAACATCAAATTGCTGATTTATGAAAAATAGAATGTGTTAAAAAATGTCTTTTTAGTGAGAGAATGTCTTTATTAACCAGAGGTATGTATTCTCTGGACCTTTTTCCTTGCTTCTCAAATGTTCCTCGCCGCCACCAAAGTAGCCTAATGGATGCAGAGGGAGGAAGTGTTTGACATCACGGACACAGCAGTGCTTGTTTTAGAGAAGCTGCCTATGTGGCCTACCCATGGAGGCCACACAGTCCCCTCTTAATGTGACCCAGACCTTTCAGCCCACTCCAGGGGCTTCAGGAACTGTCCGCTCAGCGGGGACGTAGTGTCACTTTAGCCCCCTGGTGAACACAAGTCAACATGCCTTAATCCCCCACCCATCACCTTAAGTTACACTTTTGGGTTCACAATTAGCACACCGCTCAAATCTCCCCCACTCCCTGCCGAGCTTCCAATTTCCAGACTTCAATATGGAGTCCCGTGTTCTTAGGGCTGTGGACCGAGCTGGGACCCGGATGCTGGTTTTTCGTGGCGCAGTGCCGGCCCCTGCCACATGTTCCCTCATCTCTCACTGTCACTGTGCTGCAGAGGAAGAGATCAAAACAAACATGTGGTGGCAGGGAGAGCCTGACATGATGAATCGCTGTAATTAGCATCTGACTGCCAAATGTTTGCAGCGATTGGCGGAGGCCACTTTTGACACATTCTGTGCGTGACTAGATGACAAGACCCTCAGAGTGAGATGTGTGACCTGACGAACTGAGATACAGCCGATCCCGAGCTGGGCCACAACTGAGTAAAAAATGTGCAGGTCACTTTACACTGAGCTATGCTCAATGTAAACACTTTCTGGAAGGGGAAATTTCTGCGACATGGAAAGAGAGCCAATCATCAGCTGACCTGCAGTCATGCCAAAAGCAAAGAATGATTGGCTCCGTTCAGCGTGTTGTTGTCCTGTGTGACTTTGCTGTTCTTCACTGCAGTAAATGACAAGGAAAAGCACAATTTCCCCTTAATGTACAGTACGCCTTTTCAAAAACTGCACTGTAGCTCATCTTTCTATCCTCTCATCTCTGTTTCCAGCCTGGGAGGGGGGGTGCTACTGGCATTCCTGGAGGTCAAATCACAGCACGCCTATGATCCCTTAATTTTACTGTCTAGGGTTGGTGCAGGGGTGACAATGGACGTTATCCACTTCCTGTTCCTGCTGGGAGGTGATCCTGATCCCGCTGCTGTAGAGGAGATTGCAATCAAATCCCTACTAAACGCCTTTAGCTTTTCAAATTTTCAGACAGATGGTGGGACTCATCACCTCACCAGTCCTGGACTTTTCTCTGTCTTGATGCAGGGCAAAGGGAGGCTAACTAAAAAACCACTGGAAAGAACAAAGATCAGCATCTCCAAGCTGTGTTTTCTGTTAAAGGAAATAAAAACTCAGCTGCGTTAAAGAAGGAAAGAAGCAGTCTCTGTGTATGTGTTTTTTAATGCATGCACTCAAACACCAATGCACTGGTGGATGTGCAGAGTGGACGCATCTGTAATGGTCTTCTGGCAGGAGGCCTTTGGTTCAAGTTCACCAAACCAGCAGAAGCCGGCTGAGGAAGGAAACGGAGAAAGACATGGGATGGGAGATGCTTAGGGAGTGAAGGGCATGACACGGTGGTTGTGGCTGAAGGGAGAGGAGGGGGGGTCACAGCCTATAACCTCCTCTGCCAGAAACAACAAGCAGGCCTTCTCATATTTAAACAAATACCAAGCCTGTAGGGAGCAGCTAAGAAGGAGGCAAGGAGCGAGAGGCAGGCTGGAGGATCTACAGTGAAGCCTATTTAGGACGGGGGGGGGGCAGGCTGAGAAGAGCCAAGCAGGCAGTGACAGATTTATAATGAGCACAGACTCTGCCCTCACATTTAATACCAGGCTCAAGACGTATTAGAGAGACAAAGGCCGCATATCCTTCTCGGAGAGAAGAAAGGCCTTAATTAATTTGGACAGATCACGGAGGCCCCGGGTCCACATCATCAGTTCTTTGTGGCAGGAATGCCAGCTATTTACCAGCACTCCAATAGGGCTGTGGGGGGGAGGAGGGGAGGTGATGACGACCGGGACCGCCGCGCCATAGATAGGAAAAGGATACTTTTCAAAAGCTAAAAGCTTCCCAGTTTTAAAACAAAGACGAGAGGGAAAGAGAAGAAGTGATTTTTGAAAAGGGATCTGAGTCGGAGCACAGACCCCCACCCCACCACCCCCCTATGATGTCCTACGCACATTCCACACTGTTTTCTGCCTTTTTCAGACTCTGCACAACATATCTTCACCGAATCTGAGCACAAAGGCTGTATTTATAGTTTTCTGGAATATGAACCTATGAATGCGGACAAAAATAAGTCTTACATTTATTATTTTCTGAAACCAAACAGACTACATTTAATATTATTCTTCAGATAAGATTTCAGGAGTCTCCTCCTGAAAGAATGATGTAGCCATGGAGCATCAGAAAAAAATCCCAGGGACTGTGTTGGGAGGCACTGCTGGCAGCTGTCAGGTTTTCACTGATTCTGAGGACGTATGAAGCTCCCAACATAAATAAATAGTAGAACGGACATTTGTAAGAGAGGCACCTTTAAAAGGGGAAGGTCAAAAGTAACACTTTATGTTCCTTTCACCTCAACAATCTTTATAGATTGATTTTTTTTAAATCCAATATGTGGAAATTAAATACATGTTTGCATTTTAACCAACAAAGACACAGTGACCTTGAAAACAAACTGACTAAAGATGAAATATAGCACAGTTTTAAAAATCAAAACAAGAAGATTGGACAAAAAAAAAGACTTATTCTTCGGTTTGTGTGAATAAAATGATCAGCTGACAAGCACTAGATTAATGATGTTGGAAAAAGTTGGACATTTTTCTATATATTTTATTGCCCCCTGCTTCTTTTTACAAAATCCTCTTATTGGCTTTACTGTTGCCACATTCTTCTACCTTCTGTTCACCCAACAAACACCTTTAAGGGGCTGAATTAATTAAGAAAATGCAAAAAAAAAAAAAAAAAGGAGAAAAGAGCAGCATAGATCCAAAACATCAAACTATTATTTTGAACAAATAAAAGAAAAAAACAATAAAGAAACTAT